CGCGCGCTCTCGGCTGCTCCTCCGAGGGGCGGGGCTTGCCGCGGGCGGGAAAGGAGGCGGTTGGTCGCCATTTTGGGAGGAGGGCGGTTGAGGGCGGAGAGTGAGAAGAGGGAACCGGGGAGGGGCGGCGGGGGGAGGGGCCAGTCCCCCAGGATCCGCACCCGGAGGCCGAGAGTCCCGGGAGCCTCTGCTCCAGCCATTGTTCCTGGTGGGCGGTGTTAGAACGCGGTGGCGGCAGCTGGGTGGCTGCCCCCAGTCCGGAGGGGCCTCTCTGAGCAGCGTCCTGGTGCTGGGGAGGACGTATAGTCTGTTTCCCGGGACCCTGTCGCGAGCGCGGGAGTCTCTGGGGGTCTCTTCTGCCTGGCGGGTGGGGGAGATGTGGGGCGAGCTGCTCCTCCCTTTTTTTTTTTAATTAATTTTTTTCAGAGACAGGGTCTCTCCCAGTCCCCCAGGCTGCGATCACGGCTTCCGCACCCTCACCTTCCTGGGCTCACGAGATCCTCCTGCCTCAGTCTCTTGAGTAGCAGGAACCACAGGCGGGCGCGGCCACACCCTGCCAATTTTTACATTTTTTAGAGATAGGTCTCGCCATGTTGCCCAGGCTGGTCTGGTTCCCTTGGGCTCAAGCGATCCTCCCGCCTCAGTCTCCCAAAGCATTGGGATTATAGGTGAGAGCCCCTGCGCCCGGCCTGTTCCTCCCTTCTTTGGGGAAAGGCTGAACCATCTGGGGCGCCTGCTCTGGGCTGAGCTGTGTTGGGAAGGGGGGTGGGCCCTGGTGCCGACTGGCCAAGGAGCATCTTTTTTTTTTTTTTGAGAGAGGGTCTTATTCTGTCGCCCAGGCTGGAGTTCAGTGGTGCGATCTCGGCTCACTGCAATCTCCGCCTCCCAGGTTAAAGCGATTCTCATGCCTCAGCCTCCCGAGGAGCTGGGATTACAGGCACGCGCCCCCACGCCCGGCTAATTTTTTTTGTATTTTTAGTAGACACAGGGTTTCACCATGTTGGCCAGGCTGGTCTTGAATTCCTGACCTCAGGTGTTCAGGTGATCCGCCTGCTTCTGCCTCCCAAAGTGGTGGGATTACAGGCGTGAGCCGCCGTGCCCGACCTGACCGAGTAGCTTGAACTGCCCTACAACTAAGGCAGATAATTCATTCCTTAGAAACGGAGTGCTGAAGATCTGTGGAGAATGAGAGCAGATTGGTGGTTACCTGGGGTGGAAAGGGGCATGGCGGATCTTATCTGGGTGATGGAAATATTCTAAAACTGGCCTATGGGCCAGGTATGGTGGCTCACGCCTGTAATCCCAGCTCTTTGGGAGGCCAAGGTAGGAGGATCCCTTGAGCCTAGGAGTTTGAGACCAACCTGGACAACCTAGTGAAACCCCGTCTCTTAAAAAAAAAAAAAAAAAAATTAACTGGAGATGGTGGCCTGCGTCTGTAGTGCCAGCTACTTGAGGGGGCTGAGGCAGGAGGATCGCTTGAGCCTGGGAGTCCAAGGCTGCAGTGAGCTGTATGGTCGGGCCATTGCACCCCAGCCTGGGGGACAGAGTGAGACTCTGGTGGGGAAAAAAGAAAGGGTTATGGTGATGGTTGCACAACTCAGTAAATTTCTAAAAATCATTGAGTATACACTTAAGTGAGTGACTTTTATGTAAATTATACCTCAAAGTTTTTTTTTTTTTTAATTGACTATTGGGGGAGGAAACAGAGGAAAGAAGAGGGCCTGGCATCTTGCTTTAGGATCCCTTCATTTAGCAAGTTTTTATTGGGTCTCTGTTCTAGGTGCTCAGAGATACAGTGTTTGGGTCAAACAGACATCCCTCTCCTCCTGGAGCTTATGTTTTAGATCAGTGCTGTTCAGTAGTAATAAAATGCAAACTTCAAGCACCAGCCACATATGTAATTTTACATTTTCTAGTAGCCATGTTTAAAAACAGGAACAAAATGTAAAGAACGCAGGTGTGGCGGCTGGCACTTGTAGCCCAGCTACTTGTGAGGCTGAGGCAGGAGGATCACTTGAACCCAGGACTTGGACACTGCCGTGAGCTATGGCCTTGCCTGTGCAGACCCACTGCACCAGCCTGGGCAACACAGTACGACCC